GTTGATGACTTTTTCAGTTGAAGTCGTTCACTGATCTAAAATTCTATTTGAACTTTTCAAACTTTGAATTTCAAATTTCAAATTGTTTAAATAGAGTCAGATGGAGAAATGACCAAAATAAAAATTTTGCACCTCGATGAGTTCTACAACTTTGGTTTTGGTGACTTTTCCATTTGAAATCATTTAATAACCCCAATTTGACATCCTGGCCTAGGGCATAATAGGATTAATACAATACTCATACCAACATGTTACAATTACTTTTCCGGAAGCCAATCTCTAGAGAACTTTGACGTTAAGTGTGCTTGGTCTGGAGCAATTTTGGGATGGGTGCACACGAGTGAGGGCTAGCCAGAAAATAAAATTTATTTATTTTTGGAATATACTCATCTGTGACGGGCATTAACTGGTCGTCTGGGAAGTTTAAACTTCCCACGTGGGTGCACACGAGTGAGGGCTAGCCAGAAAATAAAATTTATTTATTTTTGGAATATACTCATCTGTGACGGGCATTAACTGGTCGTCTGGGTCAAAGCTATCGGTGACGGGCTTTACTTAGGGCCCGATTGAGATAGAATCATCCGTGACAGCCGTTTGCCCGATTGAGATAGCTCTTCACATCAGTGACTTCTAGCCTGTGACGGACGCCATACCCGATTGAGATGGGGCTTACCGCCCGATTGAGATGAGGGTATCCGTTATAGTGTACAAAAGTATTGTATATCTATGTTAAGGATACAAAACACACTTGGTGAATACCAAATATTTTTGAAGTATCGATCTATGCATTTTCTTAAAATGACGGCCGGCGAGCAGTTAAAGTTTAAAAATAAATGAATAGTATATCCAGTATATATATCAACATCTCCCAATGTTTAACGTTGGTTAGTGCAAATCAACGTCAAACAAAAAGGACGGAGAGGGAGTATTTGTCCAGAGATCAGGAGTAGATCGATCAGTACACGCACGTACGTACATTAATTACCAGATGTATCACAGATGAAGCTGTCCCTACTAGAGAAACCATCTTTAGTCGGTCGCCTAAAAACTACAATAGTCCCGGTTTAAATAGGAACAGAGACTAAAGATCATTTTTAATCCCGGTTAAAAAAAATTTAATCTTTAGTCCTGGTTAGTAACTAAAGATCATTTTTAGTCGCGATCAAAAGGTTGTTGGGTCAAATTCAGACCCCAATTATCTTTAGTCCCGGTTGGTATAAACAACCGGGACTAAAAATAGGTTTTAGTCCCGATTGTTTATACCAATTGGGACTAAAGATAAAACCACCTGAGCGGCGCACGCCAGTAGTCTCGATCTTATCTAATCCCTCCCCCTTCCTCTCTCTCTCTCCTCCCTCTCATTAACAACCTCCTCTCAGATCCGGCCTCTCTCAGATCTCAGCCTTCCTCTCCCCTTCCTCCCCCTTCTCCTCTCCTCCCCCTACCTACCTCCACCTCCCATACCCGAGCGAGCCCAGACGGCCGAGCCCGGGCGACGGCGGCTGGCGCTGTGGGCAGCGGGCCGCGGCGGGGGGCGGTAGGCAGTGGCCTCCCCTCTGCCGGAGGGGAGGCAGGAGGCGGCAGCGGCAACCCTTTTTTTTCGAATTTGTGAATCATTGGATCTGTGATGTATGTGATTTGTGATGTATTGATGTTTGGATCTGTGATGTATGTAATTTGTGGTGTATTTCTTTTAAAATTTGTGATCTATTTTTTTAGAATTTGTGATGTGAATCTGATTTGTGATGATACTTTGATTTGGGGATAGGATTTGGGATATGTAGGGACATTTGGGAGGAGCAACTGGATTTGGAAAGAAACAATAAAAAAATGGTGACCAACCAGGATTGTGCGCTGCCATCTTTTGTCCCGATTGGTAACATTAAAGATGTATTTTTAGTCCCGGTTATTTTAACCGGGACTAAAGATAGCGATCTTTAGTCCCGGATTCATAGTCCCGGTTAGAAAAAAACAGGACTATAGGGGGTTACCAGCCGGGACTATAAAGGCTTTCTCCACCTGTGCGTTTGCTTAAGCTTAAAACCTAACTGATACCATATATACCACGTATATATGCCTACAACTTGCACTATATTATTGTTATTAATTATCTGACACCGTACCATGCATGCATGCAGCGCAGGACATATATGCATGGCCGGTGGAGCTAGCTATCGATCGATCGAGGAAGAAGACGACGACGTACGTTGCCGTCGTTGGCTTAGCTGCACTGCATTTGCATATACACGTACGAGCGAGCGAACGACGACGACGCGCGCGGCGGGCGAGCGATCCCCATCTATCGCAAATCGCAATGAGGCGCGCGCGCGGCAGCAATCGAGCGGCGCGCATGCAACTAGCTACAGCAACGCGCCACCCTCCCCCGGCCTCCATCGACCGAGAGCGAGAGCTTGTGTGCGTGTATGTCTTCCACGTAATTGAAATAATCTTCGATTTTATATATATATGGGTGTGTCAATGGAACTAACTTATATTACAAGAGGTAATCGATCGAGAGCAAGATCGAGTCTGTGTGCGCTTGCATGTCTTCTACGTAATTGAAATAATCTACGACTTTATATGCGTGTGTCTGTGAGGGTGGAGCTACACACATTATAAGAGGGGGAGTGTCAATAACCTGGCTGAGAAATTCTTTTAGTTACAGTTTATCTATTTTCATTAAATGGGCATTTTCTCCATGCCAAACTCCCGTATTATCTAGTTTAAATTCGGTTGAAGTAGAGTAAAACAAGCATGTCTCCTATGTAATTGATAAAAATGAAGAACGAAATTAGCGATCGGCATAGCTGGCTGAGGCTGCGCACCGAATGGGAGCCAATGATCTTACGGTTCACTACACAGTTCTTCACATTCAATCAGTTCACGTAGAAGTTTCCAGCTTGCGGTACACTTCGACGTACAACTTCTGACGAACTCTTTGTCTTCCTCTGGATTGTCTAATCCCATCGGGATTGTCTATTTGTCTTCCTCTGTTTATGGGACAGGTCATAATTTAATTTAATCTGCTTGGTTACTAAGATATCACAAACGACGCAATCAACACGCGGTGTGTTAGGAAAATCTCTGAGAATGCTTTGCTTTGGTGTCAAATCTGCATGAGACCTCACATCAGTTTCCTTGTTGATGTACCATCTACCACGCTTTCTAAAGCTTAATCCTGCCTGACCTGACCAACTTGATGCATGGTAGTAGCTAGCATCCCCTTTGTCTTTGGCAGCTCATCCTCTTCAACTACCTCAACGGCAGAACTAGCTAGGAGTAGATAGCCAGAATTTTATGTAAAAAAAAATAACTGGACTATTGAGGCACATGAAGCAGTGTGAACGACGTTTTCAAAATTCAAAATTGAATTCGGGCCTCAAACAGAAAAACAAAAATGAGTTTGAAATTTGACTAGTTAGTAGTTAGAGATGCAAGCTGGTTTTGTCAATTAATCCCATTGCGCAACACAAACTATGTACTCCCTAATCCATTCCATAATATAAGGGATTATTTCCTTTTGGGAAAGATTAAGAATGAAAAGAAAAGACTGCAATGCCTCTATTGAATGTGATTTTGGTTGTGACGAGTGGGTAGTTGAAGGTTAAAATAGGTAGAAATTTGAATTAGAATTAATGGAATGTGACAAGTAGTATAGCAAAGTCCCATTGTGGGACTAATAGTAGGAATAAAATCTCTTACTTCCTCCGTCCCATAATACTTGTCTTTCTAGCATTTAAAAATTGTCCCAAAACAGTTGCCATTTTGAAGTACTACATGTCACATCAACCACTTCCAATTCAAATTTCTCCCTATTCTACCCCTAACCACCATCCCACATCCAATTATCCATTATTAGTTAAGGGGTATTATAGTATTTTTCTTCAAATATTACTATATGCTAAACAACCTATAACGACAAGTATTTTGGAACGGTGGTAGTATATTATGGGATGGAGAGAGTAGAAAGTGAACATTTATTGGGTGAGGTGAACAATGGCCCACTCAATATATTTCATCGCAATTAACCAGACCGCATCCTTTGTCATTAGTGTTGACCATTTGACTTGCATAAATGTAGTTTAAAATTTTCATTTGGTGAAACCTCTAATCAAATTTTCCCAAACTGTAAAGTTCAACATCTCTTAAACATTTAGATTGGATAAATAATGATTTTATTGTAGATCTGTCTTCACAACTATTTTTTGCCATCCAATTTTATTTTTCTTATTTCAGGCATCCGAAATTTTTGTAGGTAGCAAACACTTACCAAAAAAGGAGCGCTTTTCCAACAAATATTGGAAGTAATTCACTATTTTTATTTTTTTTAAATAGCCTCAGTCTTGAGCCATATTAGCACATATTTCCAAGAGTAAAATCACGCAACCTGTCCAGAATCTAGTTTTTTAAACAATAATTAATCGTACGAAATTCGCTTATTTACATGGTTTATATATATTAATGATGGCCAAAATATTACAGTCATACCAGATTTTGCCAAAGCTGAACTCCCCCTGTGATCGAAGAACACATACCAATCTTGTAGCGTTAGGCAATGTACAAACTTCACACAATCAAATCTCCTACCCCCTCCGTTTCACAATGTAAGTCATTCTAGTATTTCCCACGTTCATACCAATATTAATGAATCTAGACATATATATCTATCTAAATTCATTAGCATCAATGTGAATGTGAGAAATGCTAGTATGACTTACATTGTGAAACGGAGGAAGTAATTCAGAAGGAATAACTAATACCTTGGCCCTAGCTATACCATAGCAACCTGATCCTATCTCACCATCTCGTGATAAAAGCGCCTCCTTTAATTACAAACCTCTCTTTTTTTTTCTCTTTCTAGACAATTAATTGCTAGTACAAATTAAAAGCCCCCCTCTAGGATTAGGACACTAATTAAAACCCTTCTTTTGCGAAATCCGTAACAATTCTACTACTATCATGTATCCTCCTGTGACCTCTCACCTATCGCAAGAACCCCAACCACTGGATGAAGTGGGCATAGTACATGCATACTCCTAAGCAATAGTAGCACTAGTTAGGTCGAAAAAATCCAAGTCGAGCCAAGCACAAGAATTTATTGTCGCCGCGTGCCGTGGGCGGCGTGGCTCTCGCTAGCTCGCCGCAGTGGTCACGCCCAAATCATCTTCTCGCCTCTGCTTCTTGCTGCTGCCTAGCTTAGCTTGGCTTAAGCTTATCTCTCTTGCATTGCTTTCCCTGCCTCCTCTGCAAGAGCTCCATCATCATCGCCATTGCTGCAGGCTTCTCTCTCTTTCCCTTCTTAAGACCGTCCTGCTCTTCATGGAGAGGATGAGCAGGGTGGCGGTGGCTGTGCTGCTGCTGCTCTGCTTGCAGCTTCAGCTTGGGATCAGCGGCGGCGGCGGCGGCGGCCATGGTGCTCGGCGAGGTGTGTGTTGTATGTTTGTTTTTGTTTGTTCAGATGATCAGCTTGTCCAAGAATGTTCTGGTTTCTGTTTAGCTGATTTGTGTATGTTTTGAAATCATTGTTATGATGTGGTGTTGATGGAACGGCGAATTGGAATGAAGGCGTGCGCCCTGCAGCTCGGTGAGAACGATTGATGTTTTCTTGGCTCACTTTCATGTTCGTACATGCCCTGAATTTCAGTCTAAATTTTGACAAAATTCAGAGACTCTTAATTATAGGCAGTAGTAATAAAGTTTATTTTCAAAAAACCGCAATAATAGAGTTTCCTTTAAGGAAATAATAATTCACAGTGTTATAATTAGGTTGCAGCTTGGGCATAATTTCTTCTTCTCTTCCATCACAAGTTTCCCCTGCATTTGAACAAGCATAGGCCAAATTTGCCTGAATTATCCGTGAATGTTCATCACAAAGACATTTTTCCATAGAAATCAAAGTAGATATAGAATGGTAGGAAAAAAATTTGTGCTAGGAATGTTGTCGTGGCTGTCAGAGATGGACAGCTGAACAACCAACCATTCGACCCCATCCGGGCTGCACGCATGTTCTTGTCCAATTGCTCGTCAACTTTAGCCTCATCTCTGCTCAATCATTCGCAGGTTGATCCATGCCAAGAAGTCATCATCATCTTCGCAGCAGCAGCAGCAGCAGCAGCGGAGCAGGCAGGCCGGCAGCAAGGCCGGATGGCCGTCGACGTCGTCGACGCCGTCGAACCCGTTCGGACTCCCGATGCTGCTGCCGCCGCCGCCGCCGCTCAAGGACTGGCCGCCATGGCTCGACATGCCGCCGGTCCAGGGCCCGTCGAGCTCGCCCTCGCCTTCGCCTTCCCCTGCGCCTTCGCCAGCGTCGTCGGCCGCGGTCGCCGAGCACGCGGCCCCGCCGCGGCGCGGCGAGGAACACGCGCGCCCCCGCAGCATCGCGTTGCCGCCGGCGTCTAGCTCCGGCGACGCCGGCGAAACCAGCCGGCCGGAGGTGACGGACGGGAGCGCAACGAGGCGCGGCGGCGGCGGCGGCAAGACGAACTACGTTCTTGTGGCGGCGGCGGGGGCGTCGGTGCTTCTTGCGGCGTCGGCGGCGGCGTTCGCGGCGTGCTACCGGTCGAGCAAGGTGGTGAGGAGCGTGCGGCCGTGGGCGACGGGGCTGAGCGGGCAGCTGCAGAGGGCGTTCGTGACGGGGGTGCCGGCGTTGAGGAGGGCGGAGCTGGAGGCGGCGTGCGAGGACTTCAGCAACGTCATCGGCTCGCTGCCGGAGTACACCATGTACAAGGGGACGCTCTCCAGCGGCGTCGAGATCGCCGTCGTCTCCACCACCAAGACGTCGCCCAAGGACTGGTCCAAGAAGTGCGAGGCACACTTCAGAAAGAAGGTATTACTACTGCCTCCCTTTGTAAATATTACTATTATTATTGTTTATTTTATTGTGAATTGGTTTATCATTAAATGTAATTTAAATATTTGCAAAGAAAAGCTAAATAAGGACAATGGTCAATGACGTTATGTATTAAAAACCAGAGTAAATAATTGTCAATTAGAGTACATGCACAAATCATATCTAGAATCTTTAGTGTGTGTAAGATACGTTCCCTTGATATTATTTTAATTTTGACTACCAATAATGCAATACTTGATTATTTTTTTCCCTAGGTCCCTATGAAATTGAACTGATTCACTGATTCCTGTGAAAAAGTTTACGAGATAACGGTGCCTAACATTGTGTCATTTGTGTTGGGGGGTTGTTCCAGATAACGAGCCTGTCGAGGGTGAACCACAAGAACTTTGTGAACCTTCTTGGCTACTGCGAGGAGGAGCAGCCGTTCACGAGGATGATGGTGTTCGAGTACGCCCCAAACGGCACACTATTCGAGCATCTCCACGGTAATTTTCTTTGGAACTTTGGATTTCTACCTACTTCGACACCCCGACCTGTAGCAAGCACGAAAAATGGCAGCTGACATTGACGGTGGGAAATGCAGCGAGGGACGAGGGGCACCTGGACTGGCCGACGCGGCTGCGCGTGGCGGTCGGCGTCGCCTACTGCCTGGAGCACATGCACCAGCTCGCCCCGCCGGAGATCGTCCGGACGCTGGACGCCTCCACCGTCTACCTCACCGACGACTTCGCCGCCAAGATCTCCGACGTGGGCTTCTGCGAGGAGGAGATGGCGGCGGCGGCGGCGGCGCCGGCGATGGCGGACAGGGAGAGCGTGGTGCACGGGTACGGGATGCTGCTGCTGGAGATGATGGCGGGGCGGCTCGCGGCGTCGGAGGGCGGGCTGGTGCAGGGGTGGGCGGCGGCGCTCCTCCGCGGGGAGCGGCGGCTGCGGGACGTCATGGACCCGGCGCTGCGGGGCGCCTTCCACGCCGAGACCGTCGACCGCCTGGACGCCGTCGTCCGGTCCTGCGCCGACCGCGACCCGAGGCGGCGCCCCTCCATGGCCGACGTCGCGGCCCGGCTCAGGGAGATCACCGCCATGCCGCCCGACGCCGCCACCCCCAAGGTGTCGCCGCTCTGGTGGGCCGAGCTCGAGATCATCTCCACCGAGGCAGCCTGACCAGCGTGCCAGTATTTGTAACTTTGCTCTTGAAATGAACCTACTTTGCATCCATCTGTAAATATGACATGAACAATGAGGGGATTTCATATGTAGTGTGCGTGCAGATTCTTGTGAGGTGTTTAACGAGATTGAAATGTAAAACCTTGTGTAGTTTCACAAACCAATCTACCTGAGCTGTACAGCTTCTGCATAACATTCATCCTGCACATAATATCTGAAACCAAAGCATATACAAGTTCAACGAGTATCAACAAAAGCAAAGTTGTGTGGTAGCATCACAACGTCTAGTATATAACTGAAACCAACATCTTGACAAGTTTGAAATGACTTGCCAACAAGGATGACAATTGACAAGAACATTGCATTTGCAAATACACATGACAGGCTGGCAACTTTAATATCACCTGAACATGATAAGAGTATTAGAGCAGGTACAATAGCATAATTTAGCAAGCTATAAGCCAGTTACAAACATATTTTAAAAAGATAAATGAGGAAAAAAAAGAGCAGCAGGCTACAGATTTGTAGCCAGCTGTAGCACGGACTCCAAGAAGGAGTGTGTGTATGACATGTGGGACCAGATATTAATAGTGTAATATGTAACTATTGTATGAATGAGCTAATAAATTGACTATAGATAAATTAGAGCTAATAGTTGGCTATACTATTAAACTTGCTCTTAGGCAGGCAGTAACATCAGCAGAATCGAATGGATAAACACCACAGGTAGAATACATTAACATTAACAGGTTTAGCTGTTCAAGACATTCAATGCCAGAATCCACCCACGCCAAATGCGACGCATAAACTGACTTGACAGACTGACGACAAAAGCACAGAAGCAGCCTACGACTGACGCTACATATATGTTGGTATCCTTTCGTTCAATCTGTGGCAAATGGTCTTGGCACAGCCACAAAAGAAACCTCCCCAATAACTGACAAAACAAAATAATCCCCTCTTAAGAAACCAGTGCTTGGTTTATCATTCCCTGGGCCCATGACGCGGTGTCCCTAACTTCATCATCCAAATCGTGGCACTCCCTCAGGAACTCAACATGGAAGAGGTTGCTTTTGAACAGATCCTTTGAGCTTGAGCCGAGTGTGTCCGCAAGATCCCCCAGGACAGCAACTGCAGCCTTTGTCACGCTCTCATCCCTGAAAGTATAAACACAAATGTAATGTATGTAAGCGCTAAGCAGGTAAAAACTTACCAATATAATACAACATAAATTGCAATGTGCATGACATTAACCTGCTGCGGTCCTTGTAGACAGCTTCAGTGAACTGCAATAGATGGCTTGCATAGGGTATCATCAACTGAGCTTTTGCACCCTTTATACCCTGGAGTATGCCAGAGTAAGCTTCAAAGATTCCCCGTCTGAGCTGGTTACCATAATCAACCATATCCTCATCTGTATGGTCCAAAACAGCAAGAAGTTCGGCAGCTCCTTGAAGCATTGGCATAGCATAAGGAAGGTATTTCTCAAAATTATCACCAATAGCAAGAGCAATGTCTCCAAAGCATGAGAAAATCGGAGGCTTCACAGAACGATTAAGCATCGAGTTTGACAGGTCCTTGAGAAGAACAGTCATAATCCCATCACAGAAGGGCAAAATTTTATCTTCCAAGGCACGGCAAATATCACCCACCACTCCAACAGAGATGGAACAGACTTGGTACTCTTCATAATTCTGCAAGCCAGCTTCCAGATACTTGAAAAACTCAGGCATGTATTTCACAAAATCTGTACCAGTGGCATAAGCAAGAGCACCGATGGCAAGCATCGCTTCTTCGTGTACAGTAGAGCTGTGGCAAGCAAAAACATGCAGAAACAGAAACATCAACTGATCAGCAGTCTGGGCAATTATTGACTTAGCATCCGAGCTGCTCAATTTCTGAATGATGACCTGCAGTACACCACACAGTAATGCCTGAAGATCACTTTGCTTTTCCTTGTCACCAGATGAAAGTATATGGAGATCAAACGTCAGATTCAATCTCCTCATGATCTCCTGCAGTAACTGACCTATAATGCCTGACGTTTCAGATATGTTGCTGACTCTCACAATCTCATTCAATGCTTCATAAGCTGATGCACGAAGCCTGAAGTGGGTGGTATCAGCACGATCCGCCGCAGAAAGGAGAGCAGCAATGAGATTAGGAAGAAAAGGTGTAAGCACAGATGAAATCGACTCTGCGTCTTCATAACCTTGGGCAAGAAAATATATGGCTCCACAGACTTTCTCAGCCACATTTGGAACATCCTTACTACTTTCCAGCAAGACAGTCATGATACGAGTAAGGTTTGCGCTTGTTATAATTGGATTTGCACTGGCTGGAGAATGCAGGAGCTCAAATACCCTCCCAAGAGTCCATGCAGTGGTGTCCCTTACCTGACTATTCGGGTCTTTTGTTGTGTTCAGCAGGAAGTCAAACCCAGCCTGTACCAGGGGAGCAAGTTTCTCCACAGATGGACCTTCAAGGATAGAACCAAATGCAAAAGTAGCTGCCTCACGACAATGCCAATCTGGTTTTGTGATGTTACCCTCAACAAAAGGCATCACAAGAGGCACAATCGCATCACCAACAGTTCTAGCAATGAGCCCAAGGCATGTCCCACCACTCATGGAAATGTTCCATACATTATCATCCTGATCTTGATCTTCCTCTTGCTTTAACAGAGTTTCTAGCAGCATCGGAACAAGTGAAGGGAGGGCCTTCTCAATGAAGCGATAATTTACAGTAGAATTAGCATCATCAGATCCCTCATATTCTTCTTGGAGCTCAATCTCTTCATCACAAATAGTGCTCCAGAACTCAATAGCTTGAAGTGCAACTGCTTCCTCATCTCCTTTGACAGCATTAGCTGTCAGGTTGAAAATGGTTTGCATATAAGGATCCAAGTGTACATAATATGTGGAAGCAATTGCAACAAGGCATTCAAAGGCTGCCTGCCTGATCTCCACTTCCTTCGATACAGCAGTATCACAAATTACCTTCATGATATAATTCCTTTCCATTTCATTTGCAAAGTTGCTCTCAGCAAAATCAAGAGCATTATATAGGGCTTTAACTGCTGCAAGACGGACTTCAGGGCTTAGCTCTGTCTGGTTCATTCCCTGGACAACAGCAGTTAGAACAGCATTCACCTGATCCTGCTCCAAGTGTTCAGGAGAAATCTCCTCACAGACATACCCTAAGGCCTCTAGAGTTGCTTGCTTTAGTGGAGCAGGTGCACCCTGTTGTGTCATGTTGCCCAATAATTTGGCAATGAGTTCTTGCCATTCACGCCGGGGGATCTCAATGGATGCAACCTTGGCAATGACTTGTGATGAGGTATGCCTAGCATCATGCACCGAAGATCCTAGCGTTATCAGCAAGGACTCCTTTATCTTCTGTTTGATTGATGGATCCAGGCTGACCCATTGCTGAATCAGTAGTTCCTTTTTTGCAGAATCCTTTGCATCCAAGGAGTTCTTAAGGATAATACCAGCAAGTCGTCTAGACTCTGGTGGTTTTTCATTATCCGAAAGTTCCACTGACAAGGAGAGAAGGAAGTTGGGAAGATTCTGCTCCTGGAACTGCTTGAGGTTCCCTTCTGCTACTACCCGAAGGTTACCATCTGCAGATTGAGCTGATAGCAGGATTTGAGTGATATTCATGGCTGTACCAACTGTCCTAGCAGACATCAAAGAAACAGATTTTAGCTGTTAATCATGTTAAGCGAAAAACAATTACACAAACTTAATGAAAAGGCACATCAATTAACAATCCTAGCAACTAAAGGCCGTTGGGCCAGTTTGACCTAGCTTAGGGTCCTTCAGAATTCCTTTCCATCCACAGATACTTGCAAATTATGGTTACAAGATGTAGAACTATCACCATGCAACATTTATGTTATCCACATTAGCAACACAGTTAAGCTCTGCTAAAGATTATTCAAATTTAATTTACCCTTACTTAAAAATTGATTGTTTCCCATAAGAAAATCAAGTTACTCAGTTAAACAGTTGGATAAGCACCTCATTTGGCCATGAGTTTCATCTAAACAAGGGAACCAAGCTAAGTACAATTAACAATGCAAAGCTCAATTAGACTAACTATGCTGTGGGCAATTAGATATTCAACAGGCAGCTGCACAAGTACACTAAGTCAGCGGAACACATTAGATAAAATATGAATAACCAAATAAAAGGGCAACACCCTGACATACAATGAAGAAATTACTAAACCAAAGTAAACAGGTTGAATAGGTGAATATGCTATTAGTATCAGGATCTTGAACAGGCCAAATCAGTTTGTTATCAATCAACCATAAGAAAAGCAAACATATATGCTGTGGTATAAAAAAAAACCGGTCCACACAACATAGGCACAACATAAGCATGTGAATAGCCACAATAACCAGACCTTGGACATCCACAGGTATTATGTTTACACTGAACAGCACCACCCAGAAGCAACTCACATAACAAAAAACACAAAATAACCTAAACAGCTAGCACAAGCGCAGGTAGACCTGGGCAGTATACAATGACATCTCGTGCCCTGAAGACCAACAATAAGAGATGGAACAGTATATTCAGTGCAAGGTCATCAGAAAATCAAAGGGGGTAAAATAGGCCCAATCAAATAGCGGGCGCTCATCTACACAAACTTAGTGGATGGAATATTGCAGAAAGATCTGTATTACCTTTCTTGCAACAATGAAGAGAAAAAATTAGGTCAAAGTGAATCCATACACACTTCCGCAGCACATGTTGACCTAAATCTTAACATCTAAAACCGTCAAAATGAGCACCCCTTCCCCTCCCTTCCAACTAGGGCAAAATCACTTGCAACACGCCTACCGCGAAATATATAACATGATAGTAACCTACCCACAGGAATGCTTATACTAGCATAAATAAGCAAAAACAAGGTTAAACCCCACCCTTCCCTCCTTCAACCAGCGAGATAATCCCCACAATATACGGCAGTGAATCCCAGGCGAACTGCAAAACCAGCGTTTCCATTTTACCGAAAGCAGAAGATTCGAGTGCCGTAGCTCACAGCGCGCGCAAGTGAAGAGAAAACGGATTAGGGTAAACTCCCCCCCCCCCGCCCCCCCCCCCCCCCCAATGAGAAGAAGAAGAAGAAAAAAAAATCATGGCACGGCGGATTCAATCCGTCAAAGAGAGAAGTAGACCGTA